AGTCAACATAAAATGAGCCATATCAATAATTACATTAATTATGAAAAGAATAAATATTATAACTAAAGGCAAAGATTATCAGGCATGCCTAAAAAATACCAGAACCCAATAGTTTGCTACCTAAAAGAGATGCACTTTAATTGCAATGGCTGAAATATCTTTAAAATATTAGGATTAAATATTTTTAAAATTCATATACCTTGTAAGTTGTAAGCACAAGGATGCCACGGTAGATATATTTAATACCAGAAAAATTGGAAAGTATTTGAAAACAAGAAGTATTATCAGAAGTAAAGAGAAGAATTCCACAAAAATAAATGCATGAAATTATTATACAGTCATAATAATTTTAAGTATATGTGTACCCAATAGTGACCTGTCAGTGTACTGAAGCCAACAGTAACAGAACTAAAGAGGACTATAGTTAACAGTCACAGTTGGATATTTATTCAGCATTTTATAGAACCACTAGACAAACTATCAGTAAACATACAGATACGAACAACACTGTTAGCTACCTATCATTCAGTGACAGACTTAAGACATTATACCCAATAATGGTAGAATTCAGTCTTCTCAAATAAACATGAAATGTCATGAAGACAAATGACACATTGGGCCATAACATAAATAATATATCAATAAAATATCTAGAATATTCTCAATAACATGTTAGACAAAGAAGAAATCACAGAAGAAATTGAGAAAAGTTTCAAATTAAACCATAATGAAAACACAACATATCAAAATTTGTGGAGTTCAGCTAGAGTGTTTGGAGAAGAATCCATATATTAAAATGCCTGTGTAAAAAAAAATAATAAAATAAAATAAAATAAAATAATAAAATACCTGTGTTAAAGAAGAAGAAATGTTCGTTATACGTCTTTTTGAAAAAATGAAAAAGTAAGTCGAACAGTGAATTTAAAAAGAGCAAAAAAAAAAAACCACATTAAAATAAACCATTTAAAAAAGGAAAACAATTATAAAAGCAAAATTTGGTTTTTTTGAAATTATTCCTAAAATAATACACATTTAGTGAAACATACATATATATATATATATAGAGAGAGAGAACATGAATTAAAGTATTATAAATGAAAGGAGAGATATATTACATACTCAATCATTGTTCAAAAAAAGTAGTGTAATAAATAATTGCATGCCAATGAATTTTACAACTTAGAAAACATGGACACATTACTTGTACAATAAAATTTACCTAAAAAAATTCAAGAAGAAATTGATAATCTAAATATCTGCATATATATATATATGTGACATATGCCTACATAAACAAGCAAAATATCACACAAATAAAATCTAAAATTTCAGATCCAAATGGCTTTCCTAGTGAATTTTTTCAATTGCTTAAGAAAGATATAACACAGATATTCTTTTTATTTTATTTTATTTTGTCAGGGAACTAAAAGTATTGTTATCAATGCAGATCAAATAGAAAAAATAAGACTCTATAAGCAGAAAATATGATTATAAAGATTATAAAAAATCTTAACAAATGTACATTAAAGTTACTCGAAAATGAATAAAATTAAGTAATACACTAGGATACAAAGTCACCACACAAAATCAGTTGTTTGTCTATGTACCAGCAGTGAAGATTTAGAAATAAAATTAACAAAGCAATATCATTTATAGAAGCATCAAAATATACTACATTTAGGCATAAATGTAACTACATGTGTTGAAGGTCTATACACTGAAATTTTAAAATATTATACAGAGAAATTAAAGATCTAAATAAATGGATAGATATACCATGTTCATGGATCAGAAAGCTCAATATTTTTAAGATGTTAATGTTCCCTCAAATTTACCAATCATTTTTTCAGTATCAATGAAAATCTCAATAGACTCTTGTGAAAATTTGACTGTTTTGAAAAATTTTATATGAAAATAAAAATGACTAGCATTATGAAACAAAACAACAAAAAAGTGTCACAAATACCAACAGCATTGTCAGATAAATTACTTGAAGATGGTTGTTTTTTGGCACTGTGCCTACAAATGTAATAAGTTAACGGGATCCCTGGGTGGCGCAGCGGTTTGGCGCCTGCCTTTGGCCCAGGGCGCGATCCTGGAGACCCGGGATCGAATCCCACGTTGGGCTCCCGGGGCATGGAGCCTGCTTCTCCCTCTCCCTGTGTCTCTGCCTCTCTCTCTCTCTCTCTCTCTCTCTCTGACTATCATAAATAAATAAAAATTTAAAAAAATATACCACTTATTGTTTAAAAAAATAAGTTAAGGTGTTATACATATGAAAAGAATGCATCTAAAATAACCATAAAGCATTTAAAAATGAAAACTACAACTGAAGGACTGAGACTATTTAATTTCATGACTAAGATAAAATTGTTGCAATTAAGTCTTATTGGTGAAAGAAGAGTTGCTTAGGTTAACAGAACAGATAAAACAGACCGGAAACCAACATGCACACATATATGGCTTTTGGCAAATATGCCAAGATATTTCAATGAGGAAAGAATAAACTTTCAACAAATAGTGTTGGACAAATTGTATTCTATTCACACACACATGCACACTGAACATTAATTCTTATTTAACATATCCACAGGGTCTTACCTCAAAATATAGACCCAAATGTGTAATCAAAATCTACAAATTTTCTGGTAGAAAACACAAGAAATTGGATTACTATACATTAAAAATAAACTCTGTCCCCCATCTTATAGCAGGAACAAAAATTAATTCAACATGGGTCATATACCTAAACATAAGACCCCAAACTATAAAGCTTTTTTTAGAATAAAATACAGAAAGATATTTTCATGACCTTGGGGCAGGCAAATGTTACTTAGAAAATAAAAGAGTCCAGGGGCACAAGTCTTCCTTGGAGAATTCTAATAACCATTTAAAGAAGAACTAATACCTATTCTTTTGAAGCTGTTTCAAAACACAGAAATGGAAGGAAAACTTCCAAACTTGTTCTATGAAACAAGCATTACAATTTTTTTTTGTTTTTTTTAAAGGATTTTATTTTATCCATTCATGAGAGAGAGAGAGAGAGAGAGAGAGAGAGAGAGGCAGAGACACAGGCAGAGGGAGAAGCAGGCAACATGCAAGGAGCCCAATGTGGGACTCGATCCTGGATCCTGGAATCAGGACTTGAGCCAAAGGCAGACGCTCAACCTCTGAGCCATCCAGTCATCCTACCAGCATTAATTTGATCCCAAAACCATACAAAGTCCCCATCAAAAAGAATTACAGACCAATATCCCTGATGAGCATGAATGCCCAGATTCTCACTAAGAGACTAGCAATAGGAGCCAATGGTATGTTAAAAGAATTATTCACCATAACCAAGTGGGATTTATTCCTGGGCTGCAAGGGTGGTTCAACATTTGAAAATCAATCAATCTGATACAGCACACTAATAAAATAAAGGATAAGAACGATATGATCCTCTCAGTCAATGCAGAAAATGCCTTTGACAAAATACAGCATCCTTTCTTGATTAAAACTTTCCACAGTGTAGGGATAGAGGAAACATACCTCAATACCATAAAATTCATCTTCTTAAAGCCCACAGTGAATATCATTCTCAATGGGGAAAAACTCAGAGCTTTTCCCCTAAGGTCAGGAACATGACAGGGATGCCCACTCTTACCAATTGTTCAGCATAGTACTAGAAGTTCTAGCCTCAGCAATCAAACAACAAAAATAAATGAAAGGAATTCAAATTGGCAAAGAAGAAGTCAAACTCTCACTCTTCAAAGATAACATGATACTTTATGTGGAAAATCCAAAAGACTCCACCCCAAAATTGCTAGAACTCATATGGGAATTCAGCAACTTGGCAGGATACAAAATCATCTCACAGAAATCAGTTGCATTTTTACACACTAACAAAGAGACCGGAGGGAAAAAAATTAAGAAATCAATCCCAATTACAATCGCAACAAAAACCATAAGATACCTAGGGAAAAAAACTAATGAAAGAAGTAAAGGATCTGTACTCTAGAAACTACAGAACACTTATGAAATAAATTGAGGAAGACACAAAGAGATGGGATAACATTTCAGCTAATGTCAACTAATCTTCAACAAAGCAGGAAAGAATATCCAATGGACAAAAGGACAGCATCTTCAATAAATGGTGTTGGGAAAACTGGACAGCCACATGCAGAAGAATGAAACTGGACTATTACACCAGACACAACAGTAAACTCAAAATGAATTAAAACCAAATGTGAGACAAGAATCCATTAAAATCCTAGAGGAAAAAAAAATATCCTAGAGGAGAACACTGGTAGCAACCTCTTTGACCTCGGCCATAGTAACTTCTTGTAGATATGCCTCTAAAGGCAAGAGAAATAAAAACAAAAATGGACTTTGGAGACTTCATCAATATAAAAGCTTTTGCACAGAAAAAGGAACAGTCAACAGAACTAAAAGGCAATCTACAGAATGGGAGAAGATATTTGCAAATAACATATCAGATAAAGTGCTAGTTAGTATCCAAGATCTATATCAAACTCAACACCCATAAAACAAATAACCCAGTCAAGAAATGGGGAGAAGACATGACCAGATATTTATCTAAAGAATACATACAAATAGCCAACAGACTCATGAAAAAATGCTCAATATCACTTGCATCAGGGAAATAAAAATCAAAACCACAATGAGATACCACCTCACATCTCACACCTCACAGTGAGAATGGTGAAAATTAACAAGACAGGAAACAACAGATGTTGGTGAGGATGTGAAGAAGGGGGAACCTTCTTGCACTGTTGGTGGGAGTGCAAACTGGTGCAGCCACTCTGGAAAACAGTATGGAAGTGCCTCAATAAGTTAAAATATAGCTACCCTATGGTTCAGCAATTGCACTACTGGTTTATTTACCCCAAAGATACAAATGTAGTGATCTGAAGGGGCACCTGCACCCCAGTGTTCACAGCAGCAATGTCCACAATAGCCAAACTGTGGAACGAGCCCAGATGTCCACTGACAGATGAATGGATGAAGAAGATGTCACGATAATGGAGGAATTGGCAGATGCTCTGACTTACTGCCACGAGAAAAAGGTGATTCACTGGGATATTAAACCAGAGAACCTGCTGCTAGGGTTCAAGGGTGAGGTGAAAATTGCAGACTTCGGCTGGTCTGTGCACACATCATCTCTGAGGAGAAAGACAATGTGTGGGACTCTGGACTACTTGCCCCCAGAAATGATTGAGAGGAGAACATACAATGAGAAGGTTGATCTGTGGTGCATTGGAGTACTTTGCTATGAGCTGTTGGTAGGATATCCACCCTTTGAGAGCCCTTCCCATAATGAGACCTACAGACGCATCCTCAAGGTAGACCTACGATTTCCCCCATCATTACCTTTGGGGGCCCAGGACTTAGTCTCCAAGTTTCTCAGATACCAGCCTTTGGAAAGGCTACCCTTGGCCCAGATCATGGAGCACCCCTGGGTCAGGGCCCACTCGAGGAGGGTGTTGCCTCCATCTGTTCAAATGGCTTCTTGAGGCCTGTCTGCACCTGTTTCATTGTGTTTGTTCAGAGCTTTGCTGGCTCTCTTATCTTTTGTTTCTTCTAAGATGCTAATTAATAAAAGCTGAATCATTTTGTAAAAAAAAATCAAATATCAAATATTATTCAAAATCAAATATTACTCAGCCATCAGAAAGGATGGATACCTACTATTTACATCAACATGGATGGAACTGGGGTATTATGCTGAGTGAAATAAGTCAATTGGAGAAAGACAATTATATAGTTTCACTCACCTGGAATTTAAGAAACAGCATGAAGGCTATTCCTAATAGGGGATGGAAGGGAAAACTAGGAAGAAATCAGAGAGGAAAAACTATGAGAGCATCTTAAATCTGGGAAACAAGCTGAGGATTGCTAGAGGAGAGGTGGGTAGGTGGGTGGGGTAACTGGGTGATGGGCATTAAGGAGGGCATGTGGTGTGATGAGCATTGGTGTTTATGCAAATGATAAATTATTGAACACTACATATGAAACTAATAATGTACTATATATTGGCTAATTGGATTTAAATTTTAAAAAGGATGTGTGAAAGCATTAAATAAAAAACTAACCATAAAAGAATAATCGATCCATCAAACTTTACCAGATTTTTAAAAAGATTTATTTATTTATTAATGAGACACACAGAGAGGCAGAGACACAGGCAGAGGGAGAAGCAGGCTCCCTGCAGGGAGCCCAGTGTAGGACTTGATCCTGGGACTCCAGGATCACGCCTTGAGCTGAAGGCAGACACTCAACCACTGGGCCACCCAGGCATCCCAAACTACAGCAGATTTAAAAACTTGTTCTCATCAAAAAATATTTTTGAGGGAATGAAACAATTAGCCACAGACAAGGAGAAAATACTCATAATACACATAACCATATTATATAACGATGTTTTACAAACCATTTTTTAAAAATTCACAACAATCCAATAAAAAAACAGTCCCTTAACAAAAGAAGTTAGCTAAAACAGCCGATAAGTTTATGAAAATATGCTCAACATTATATGCTGCTAATAATAATATATCATATATTACAATATCTTTGGCATTATATTTGGCCATCATCAATAAAATGAAGCTTATGGCTATTCTATAATCCAGCAATTCCACTCCTATATATTTACCCAAGAGAAATAAAAACATATATCCTCCAAAGAACTTGCTAAACCATGTTTATTTTGGCTTTATATACGTATAATCAAATACTGGAAACAATTCAAATAACCATCAAGAGAAGAATGGATAAACAGATTTGCTGTATTTAGGCAACACTTAATACTTTTCAATTAAAAAAATAAACTGCGAGTACATATTTCAACATGGATAAAGCTCACAAACTTTAACTTGACTAAAAGAAGTCAGATATAAAAGAGTATGTGCTGTATTGATCCTATTCATACAAAGTTTAGAACATGCAAAACAAACCCATGTTGACAGAAGGGTGGTTGCCTGTGGGGTGTGTGGCAGGCAAAACAGAAATTTCTGAGAATGTGGAGTGTTCTTTTGATGAGAGTGTGAGCTCCACAGACCCATGCTCTTATAAAACCCATTTAAATGTACACTTACCACTATTCTCAGTACTCCGCAAATTTCACCTGAGTAGATACATGAATTTAATTGCTTCTCCTTTCTTTCCACAACCTCAAGCTATCTATACATCACATCATATTACCTGTTTCTGAAAAGATAAAAAAATGATACAAATTAGTGTAGCTTTCTGATTTTTAAAATGTTTCTTCTTCACATGTTTTAATATTAATTGATTGTAAATTTTGGTGAGAATTTGATCACCACATTACGTGTGCATTTTATCAATACAAATTATTATCTCTGTACCATTTAGTTTTTTGTTTTAATTTGAAATCTTCATCTGGCATTGATACTGCTACTCTGTTGATGTAGTTAGTGAGTCTTTTAGTTGTAACCCTTCTATATTCTTTAGGTTTAGCTTGTCTCTTGTAAATAAATTTTAGTTGAGCTTAATTTGTTTTTTTAAACATAGTTGTTTCATTCTTTTGTATTTATTTTGATAAATAAATACATTCGATCATTTGGATTATTACCTTCTCCTGTGGTTTACTTTTGTTAGACTCTATTTGCTGTGTTGTGTTGGCCTGTAGTGATTTCAAAGGTAAAATCTTAACTATTAAAATTGAGGAAGCCTACTGGTTAGTTTTTTTCCCTATCAACGTAAAGTGTAAAGTAGTATCTACTGTTACAGGAATGCATAAGATGATAAATTCGGGGAATCTCACTCGTTAACCACAATTTCCCCTACTCCATTTTAAAATTTTCATTGATGTAATATTAAAGAATTATTTTAATCAACATATTAAACTTACATTCTCATTATTTTTTCTCAAGACATTATCTGGTGTCTATGGATTATAGTTTGACTAGGGTACCCTCTGCTGTTGGAGAGGTTGGGACCTAGGCCTGTGTCTCCCAACCTTTGGATTTAAAAATGATTAAATTAATCATATAGATGCTGTCAATCCTGCAGATTAAACATCTAGGGCATTGAATCCATTTCTTAAATTTTATCAAATTACTTTGAATAGTGGTCAAGCAATTCAAATTGCATGTAGGTTTTAGTTCAGGAGGAAAAGTAATACTAAGTAAGTAATCTATTTCCAAAAATATGAATGAAATCCAGAAATTTAGGCCATATACATGGTCTGCAATGACGTAAAAGCACAGAGAAAGCGAATTGCACATTACTCCGGACACACAGCAAACCGCTGGTGTGACAAAGTGTTCTCTGCACCATCTGTGACTCCACCTACTCTTTGCACTGCAGGAAGAAGTATCCTACACCAACAGCTAGATGTAATAAGACATAAATGGTACATCCATGTGGGAGACGAGAGGTGGAGTTTACTAAAATTTTAAATAAAATTCATTTTATAAAAATTAATAGTTTAAGAAAAATGCCTTGAATTTACAGGATTTAAAAGCTGGATGTTGAAGATTAACATCTAAGTGTTCCCCTCATTTGTGCTCCCAGTTTCTCCAGGGTTAAAAATTGGAAATCAGTGGTTTCATTTGAAATCTTGATGTTTTTTGTTTTCATTCCATGTGGATGCACTAGTTGCTGGGTGGTTGATTACACCAGAAATTGTTTCTCATATTTCTAGTATAGAGAAGAAACACGACCACTGCATGTGGTCTTCCCACCCCATCCTTTCCTCTGTTTGAAGAGGCAGAGGCAAGAGACAGGCAGTGCTAGATTTTCTAGAAAAGGAATTACACATAAATTGCGTGTTTGCTAACAGAGCCAATATATTAAATGTATTCTTGTCTATGAATAAAATAAATCACTAAGTATATATCATTAATAAAGACATATGAGACCTTTCACATTATGTCAAATTATTACATTAAAAAGCTTGGGAAAGAAAGGGCAAGCCAATAAAACTTGAATATGCTAAGTGATCATTAGAGCTGGGTGTGATAATTGAAATTTGCTTTGCAGTAATTTCATTAAAAATTCATAAGTATTCTGGCTCCTTCCCTTCTCTGCCTAAGCTAGTAAGGAGTCAGGAAAGGATACTTAAGATGTACACACGTTGTTGACCACAGTGCTGAGCACAGGACCCAAGGGACCTAGGTGAGGAAACGTGTAAACACACGTTAGTTCAATGCTTTCTTTGGATCTTGAGTTTCAGTCTGTTTCAGAGGAGTGGGTATGACCCTACCATTCAGTTTTAAACTTCTGAGGAAGATATTTTTTATTTATAATCTCATAATGCTCTATCCAGTGTTTTGTGCAATGTTGAATACTTGGCAATTATCTTGGCCTGATTAATGTTACAAACTATTTCACCTCTTAGGATGATATATTTCTTTTATTTTTTTTATTTTTTTTTGGATGATATATTTCTTGATCTATTCAGGTGTTATTTATTTTTTTTTAAATTACATGCAAGTGGAAAATAATTGTCATTAACGTCGTCTCCCTGGTGTCTCTCTGAGAAATGTGAGCTCCTGGCGTGGCATATATAAACACCCAGGATATATTATTTGATACAAGAGGTTGGAAGGATATTATTCCAGAAAAGTGTCTTTGATAGTCTCATGGTCATCATCAATCCATGAATATGTTTTCCAAAGCTGTGGGTATTGAGCCTGAGAAATTGATTATGGTTGGACTTCTTCCAAATCCCTTACTTTGTGTTAGGAGGACTCACCAAATTTAAAATGCATTTGCTGAATAGATTTTCTTTTTTAAAAGACAAGTCCTGTGTGGTTTAAGGACAACTGATTATGTGTTTTAATTACTAAAATGCCTGTTGGTAAAAGCTTTTAAGATTTTAATCAACCAGCAATTTGAAATTTTAGCTCAAAAAAAAGGATAACTCTGTCCACTAAGAGCAAACCAATTAGAATCTCTCATGACTGAGCTTTCCATGTGTCTTGAATTTCAAAATGTTTTGATGCATTCTGAAAATGTAATAGCCATGGTCCTTTTTATCTTACGGCTTTAGATTCTAGATTTCATTTCATAATCGTATAGTATACACATGCCAATCTACTTAAATCATCCAAAATATGTGTCCTAAAAACACTGATGTATTCAAGGAACAAGCTTATAAATTGTCTATCATGGAAGGCAAAGTTGCATCCATTCGTAAATTTCTCCAATGGGACTTGAAACGTTACCGTTACGGTCAAGAATTTGGCAGGTTGGTGCTATTCATGAACTACCAGCTCATATCCCCTAATGCCCTCTTTAGCCAAGACTAAACAATAATTTATTTGGCTCAAAGTTGGATTTTGCTAATTTGCTTTTGGCTTGATAATATGTACTGCTGCAAAGAGTTTTTGGAGCAGTTGATATATAGGGGGCGTATTAAATAAAGGTGGAAAATTATATTACATTTTGTCACTTATTTTACTTCCTAAACAACACTGATATACAGTTAAGTCATCTTAGAGAGTTTTAATAACCTGGAGCAACATGTACTCACTTAGCAAAAATTGAACATGAATGCCTTATATTACTTATTTAGGTTATTTTATTTTTTCAATTTCCACAAATTTGGGGATTCCCTATCTCCATGC